ACGATCGTTTTTAAAAACGATCGTTTCGTTTTCGATTTTTCGTCGTCGTTTTCATAACGAAACGATCGTTTTTCTGAAAAATGAAAACGTTAACAGCCCTACTCGTATATGTTTTTATTGTAATTGAATCATTCCCACAAACCCAAATTTTCTAATCCCTGTATATTTGCAACCTGATATTGTAAACCTTTGATATTTTATTTGATCTACTGTTGTCGTCGTATATATCTTTACAGTGAAGGCGATTTTTGCTTATCAGAAACATGACAGCAAAGAGAAACTGTCAACTAACATATTATCTTTGTTTTTTTTTAAACTTAAAATTTAAAAAACTTTAATAGAAAAATCGCCTTTTTTGTGTTAATATAAACGCAGACAACTGAAACTTAAATATATAAGGTCTACGACATAAGGTTACAAAGATATACGGATTATAAAATCACAGACTGTAGCAAAAACTGAATATTTCTTTAGTGCACTCTCATGTATTGAATAAAGAACTGAGGCTGGAGCAAAGAAGAGTCTGGAATATTACTCAATACAACTATAGGTGGGTTTAATGGGACTGTATGTAGAGATGGGATCTTTTTTGAGAATGAACGAAATTCGTTGTGGAAAAGGGTGTTCAAGTTTAATACTATTTTTTATGTTAACAATACTTAANAATATTATTATTATTATTATTATTACTTTGGTGGCCTTGAACTTTTTCTAATATAAAATGAGATATATTTTTCCTTTGAGAATTGACTTTTTCAATAAATGATGAAAAAAAATTTATAATTTTCCATTAATATTCTAATATTCTATATATTTTGTATAATCAGGTTGATTTGCCTGTGGAAAGGTCCCCAAAGAGTAAATGGTATCTCTCTCCTGCAGATTATACTGAGAAATATTTTCCAAATTTTCTATCAGGTCAGAAAAATTAACAAACGACAAATTATAATTTTTATTCTCAATATCTCTGCAGCCTGATGGTGTACATCTTTGACATTTAAAACTTATTCTCTCTCAAGAAATATATAGACCAGGAACCGCCACATCTGATGTGTCAAATCTGTGTACTGCAGTGGGAGGAGATCAAAACAAAGAACTGAATTATTTTTGAGGGAAAAGGGCCCAAGGGGTTGAATAAGAATATATTGCTATTGTATTTTCCAAATTGACCAGAAAGCCCAAACAACATAAGTATTTGCTCTAACTAGATATATTAACTTATTTTTTGTTGGACTGTAATATAACATCAGAGCGCTAGTCCTTTCCCTTCAACTTCTGTGGGGGCACTGGGTTTGTTTACATTCCTCCCACAAAGTACAGTACATAATATGCGTATATCTGAGTTGGGCGTTCCTGTATATAGTTCCTTGGTCTCACTCCGGAGATCTAATTTAGTTCAAACACATGTTGATCTTTAATTCAACAACCTTTAAACTTACAGAGTTTAATTTTTTACTTTTTTATTTAAAAAGCATATACCAACAAAATATATAAGAAAAAAGGCAAAAAATTATGTTTAATAGATCAAATTCTGATCGTCCGACCTAATTTGTTAAATTCATGTTATTTAAATTAATGGTTTGAAATTCCAAAGGCTTACTCTCTACGACATAAGGGACCAGTTTTAGTAAAAAAATGAGACTTGTTTGAACCGCTTAGACTTCATTCTCTCAACCTTAAATCCGCAAAACAGAAGTGGTTGAAATACGTCAAAATAAGGAAACAATTTAGTTCTATAACATTTAAAGTTTTAAGAAATAAATAGTGTGCGCGGATTTTAATTTGTTTAATTAATTTTTTTAAATATTAGAATTTATCTTTTGTTTGTTTGTATAGGTTGGTTGTACTTTACAAATAGATCTACAGTAATACTTCTTCTCTCACAGATATTGCAAACATCAAAGGAAGGTGAGTTCACACTGCAGAAAACGTAGTTTTGAATTTGCCCTGCAGATGATATCAAGGTTTTATGATATCAAAAACATGATGTAAATCTGTATAGAAAAATATATTTTTATTCTGGTCTTCAAATTAACGTTTTTAATGAAGAAAAAAAACATCTACACAAATTCCAGTCTGAAGGTCTTTTTTGAACATTTAAAAAAAATCTTTTTTTCAAGTGTTGAAAATCTGCAAATTCGTGAATTTAAAGGTCTTGCAAAGAAAATATCATACGAAATTTTCGCGAAACGATTTCTCCATTTCGCTGGAAACCATAGGAAAAAATAACCTTTTAAAAGATTAGTTAATTACTTTACTTTTTTTCGAGAGTAGATAATTACAATTATACATTTCATACCTATTTATGTAGATTTTATAGATATATGAAATAATTAAAATAAAAAAGACTACTTAATTATACAATAAACATTATTTCCACATCATTAATATTAATTATTATTTTTATAAGAGTGCATTTTTATAAAATTTGTAAATTAACTTTCCTTTTTTCTAAATTCTTTTTGTTTGATCTTTGCAGTTTTTTACATAATACAGTTTTACAGAATCTATTGAATTTTCCAATATTTTTTAAATTAAACCTCGTTTTTTTAAGTAAACAATTGAAATGCTGTTTGGAATCCAAATACAGATGTCCATTCCTGGTTTCTTCTGCCGACAAAAAACCGGTTTTGATCGAAAATGCGGGAAATCGTGCACACTGCACCTCATGTGCCTCTATCAAATCAGTAGAATTCAATCAGCTGTGCCCTCCTGTCCCAGATACTTATATTTCAACAAATGCCGTTGCGAGCATTGAAGTCGTTTGATTGAACATGAGAAATGAGTCTTTGCCGTAAACTCAAATTTTGTAATCCATATATCTTTGCAACCCGGACCGATGTCGTGAACCTTTAATATTTAAACTATGAATTCTGTTGGGCCAAAACATCTGAGTTTGATATATCAAAGGTTTACACCATCAGATTAAAAAATATAGGGATTACAAAATTTGAGTTTGTGACAAGAGCTCAGTCTCTTTTTGAGTAATCTGAAAATGTCTTTAATTACGAATACTTCAGAAGTACATGCCTAAAGTCATAATGAAAGGTCTTAGATCTCTAAAGAAATGATTTACTGAACTGAAAGGAATAGATTTTACTTTTAACAACATGTTTATACTCCGATTATGGAAATATTACGCCTAAAGAAGTTCTTTAAGGGCAGAATGATCATTTAACTTTCCATCACAATTTTAAAACGGGTTTCTTGTAAATTTTCGAAAAAATTTAATATTGTGTTTCTTGTAATAAATTTTGTAATAAAAAATGAATAAATATATTTCACAAAAAAATAAAATCTTAAAGCTTCAAGCGAATCACAATTTTGTTATGTTGTATCACATAATGTCATTATAATCTTTTATGTTTTATATAATAATAGCTAAAAGCAAAATAAATAAAGAATGCTCTAAGTATACAGTGGTAGCCAGAAAACGGTTGAATAGAATGACAGCATATAAGCAATCCTATGTATTTAATAGTTTACCATTAGGTTATAAACTTGTTTAGTGAATTTTGTCTCCGTACACATTTTTTGTACTGCAGTGTACTGTCTCTGGGCTATAAAGTAAACAAAAGACAGATGACAAAGTCTGGCATGGGATCCATCTTTCACATTAAAAACCAATTAAATACTCTGGTCATAGAAAACTATTATATGAATTATCAAAATGATCAAAATTTAATTCTTTTATCCTCAAATTGGATACTAGAGGAACAATGATGCATCAATTCTTGTTTACAAATACCGCCCAGAGAGAACTGTTTTCAATATGTACGCAGAGAATACGCAAAACCGCAATTAACTTTCCTTGCATTATTACCTTGCTAGCTGTCTTGTCCATAAGATTATTTTAAATCATAATTTCAGTCTTAAAGTCGTCTTCCTATTCCCAAGTTTTATGACGCCAAGAGCAGCTGCATATTTTATATTTAAGTAATCGAAAAATTAATATTAGAAAAAATCTAACAACTGTTTCAAATGATTTTAATGAAACAAGTTTAAGATTAAAATTTTTTTTCTTTTGAAAATTTAAAATTTCGATATCGTTCATAAAGTTCAACCTAAAGTAAGTGAAGGGAGGGGTTGTGCCAAAAAAAGGGTCTAGTAAAATTTTGAGTCAAACAAATGTGACACATCTGCATTTCTATTGAATACAGAAATATAGGAAAATATATTAGTGTTTGTCTAACTATTTTCAAATCTATTTCACAAACATTCCCCTTAAAGGGACTGGCAGCCTAATTTCAAGTGACCCTCCATGCAAAGATGGCCATGTCCGATTTACAATTTAAATTTTCACAGCAAACCCGAAAATGAAAATAAAAAGTTTGCAGAAATAAAACACTAATATATAATTCTTCTTCATCAGACAAATGCTTGTAAGGGTACCGTTGTGAATCGGACATTGTTATCATTTCACGGAGGGTCAACTTGAAATTACGATTACAATCCCTTTAGTGTCACTGTTAACTAATCTTCATAAGCACTTTCTTTTGAAGCACAGATAGAGCAGATAGGACTGTTGTTCCTGCTGCAGAATAGGGCTACCAGGATTATCATCACCATCACTATCACAGTCGGTAGAGTCACCTAATCAAATACAGAGCTCGGTGTTTGTATCAACACAATAAAAACAACTTTTGATTCAAGTTTTCATTATTAACAAGTGAATGAAGATGTTCTGTGAAAGCTTTAATTTGTTTCCATGATTATGTGATTAATGTTGTTTAAAAGCTTATTAGAAATCAAATTAAAATCTAAAGTCGTCTTCATTGAGAACAACCTATTATTTCTTTTTTAATTTACCTATTCTTTCTTATTAGACTATTTACCCATTTTCTTTTATCTTAATAACCTTTTATTTCTTTTTTAATTTACCTATTTTCTGTTATCATAAAAACCTATTATTTCTTTTTAAATTTACCTATTTTTTCTTATTCTATTTGCATATTTTTACTTATTTTATTCTTTATTTTTTTATTGTATTATTTTGTAATTGTATTACCGAGATGAGGTGATCATTGAATGTAATATTGTCCTCTCCGTCCAGCTCCTTGAACAGGATCAGCTTGTACCTGGGTAAACAATCCCTTTAAAGGGACTGTACACGTATTTTCAAGTGATTCTTCGCAGCCGTATCCTTTAAACCTCTATCTAAGTAACATTAAAAAGAAATGCATTCCTTTACGGAGAAACCACGATTGAAAAAAAAACAATATTGGAGTGGAGATGGCACATGAAATTACGTCAAAGTCCCTTTAAACCTTTGCGTTTGAGATGTTCCTAAAAAGTCATTTGATAGTCAGAAGAAGAAGTGCTACGATGAGCCGCTTGGAAGGTATTTTCGTATTTTAAATGAGATTAGGTCATAACTCATAGACCCCTTGACCTATTCGCCTCAAGTTTTCATTGGGGGAACTCAGAGAACATGCACGGCCATATTCTTATAGCTTACTTTGAAAATTTTAAGTTGAGGGGGTTCACTTCTATATAGAAAGATTGGTTCCCAGGCAAAGCTGGAAGCTAGTATGTATTTTGTTGTTTTTTTGTATGTCCGATCATTACTCATGAAGCCCGGGACCGATTTGCCTCAAGTTTTAATTTGTGAACTCGTTAGAACCACAGTTCAATTTTAAGTGGTTAATATATTTATTAGGAAAAAGCTGAGTTTTACAAGCTTGTGAATTTATAAAACTATTTTTAACCTGTTTTCAACTCGTTCGTCGTAACGGGCCAGCATTTTTATTGCAGCATCAACAACCACTAGAAAATATTTAATCTTTGAAGTATGTTCAACTATCTAGTTCAACTATCTAGTTCAACTATCTAGTTCAACTATCTAGTTTAGCGGCTCTGCAACATTTATTAATTCCAGCCCCAGGAAAATGTTTCTATAGCTCAAGACATAAGAATATATACTCGGCCAGTTGGCATCATCAATATTGGAACTGAACCAACCGCCCACCCGGGGTTTGTACATTAAGACATTGCAATTAAAATAAATTTCAAAATCGTCCACACAATTCTGCAGACGATTCAATATTCTGCAGACGATTCAATATCGAAGAAATTACTGCAAAGTCCTCAAAATTTCATCTTATTTCTCATTTTCTTGGAAATTTCATGCTAATTTTAGATTAAAAACCATTTTAAAAAATGCTAAAAAAAATATAAGCTATAGGCCCGAAAAACAGACCACAAAAATGCTTTTAAATTTTTTCGTGCTCTAAACTCATTAAATTTTTAATATTTCCAAGACTCGTTGCTCAATTCACTTTAAATTTCCAAGAACATAAGGTCCGAACGTAAAAGATGTATTAAGTATTTTTTTCACCTTTTTTTTTGGTGGCCTTTGAATTGTAATTTCTCCGATATTAAATCGCCGGATCAGAACCATATGGACGATTTTGAATTTAATTTCTATCGCATTATTTCTTTTACGTTTTAATGTACCAAACACCGTGAATGGTTGGCTGATTAATCATAAATTCAGTACAAGCAGTACATGTAGTAAATTTCATACATCTTGTACATGTAGTACATGTACATAAATTTTCTTTGAACTATAACCCCGTTTAAATTTTAAACATAAGATTTTTTCTCTGCAGTCCGAAAAAACAATAAACAAAGTTTTTGCTTGACATTAGCCCTAATTTGCTTTGATACAACTTTTACAAATAAATTGCAGAAATTTTCAAAATTACGTTTTTAGGGGGACGGAGGTTTCATGTCCTGTTTCTTACATTTTAAAGGTCAAAGAAATTATCATTAACAAATTACTTACTGTAGGATTGAGGACGACATTTCGGCCAGGCTCCTGTCGATCCAGGGTCTTTTGGATTTGGGGCATTATAGGTACTGGTATTAGTACACTGATACCTTAATTAGGTGTATTATAGGTACTAGTATTAGTTCACTGATACCTTAATTAGGTGTATTATAGCTACTGGTATTAGTACACTGATATATATTTTTAAATAATATTCCTGCAAATCTAACCAGGTAGATAAATATTTATAATAATATCCTTGCAATCTAAGAAGGTAGATAAAAATTTATAATATCCCTGTAATCTCACCTGTCAAGAACTGTATCAGACCCTCCCTCTATACCATAGTTTGGTATTCTGCATCTAAATATTAAAAAGTTCATTTATAATCCCCCCTTTACCCCCTTTGTATGTCCGATCATTACTCATGAAGCCCGGGANCAATTTGTCGCCCCCTTCCAAAAGAAATCAATTTGTTGCCTCCTTCCAAAAGAAATCAATTAGTTGCCTCCTTCCAAAAGAAATCAATTTGTTGCCCTCTTACAAAAAATATCAATTTGTCGCCCCCTTCCAAAAGAAATCAATTTGTTGCCTCCTTCCAAAAGAAATCAATTAGTTGCCTCCTTCCAAAAGAAATCAATTTGTTGCCCTCTTACAAAAAATATCAATTTGTCGCCCCCTTCCAAAAGAAATCAATTTGTTGCCTCCTTCCAAAAGAAATCAATTAGTTGCCTCCTTCCAAAAGAAATCAATTTGTTGCCCTCTTACAAAAAATATCAATTTGTCGCCCCCTTCCAAAAGAAATCAATTTGTTGCCTCCTTCCAAAAGAAATCAATTAGTTGCCTCCTTCCAAAAGAAATCAATTTGTTGCCCTCTTACAAAAAATATCAATTTGTCGCCCCCTTCCAAAAGAAATCAATTTGTTGCCTCCTTCCAAAAGAAATCAATTAGTTGCCTCCTTCCAAAAGAAATCAATTTGTTGCCCTCTTACAAAAAATATCAATTTGTCGCCCCCTTCCAAAAGAAATCAATTTGTTGCCTCCTTCCAAAAGAAATCAATTAGTTGCCTCCTTCCAAAAGAAATCAATTTGTTGCCCTCTTACAAAAAATATCAATTTGTCGCCCCCTTCCAAAAGAAATCAATTTGTTGCCTCCTTCCAAAAGAAATCAATTAGTTGCCTCCTTCCAAAAGAAATCAATTTGTTGCCCTCTTACAAAAAATATCAATTTGTCGCCCCCTTCCAAAAGAAATCAATTTGTTGCCTCCTTCCAAAAGAAATCAATTTTTTTAGAAAAATTTAAAAAATCAAAAATTAATTTAACAATTTTCTTAAATGGAATATCGGCATAATTTAAATAATCCATGTTTTAAATGTGTTTGTTTTCCGACTCACAGTGGTTCAATCTTAAAATATTCATCTGAATAAAAAGTCGGTTTTCTATCATGAAAAGAGATAATTCTGTCAATGTTCAAACCTTGTCTGTGTAGCATAAATTCGCATATCACTTAAATTAAGAGATAACACAGGATGTAGCAATTTGATTACTGTTGTACTCAGAAAAGAAGTTAATGGGTACGTTTGTGAGTTGAGAGGATGCCTTGAAATTACATTTACAATTCCTTTAATTAATGAATAATTTACCCGTAAACTAGTCTATCCCAGGCCCATATATATTCATCCGGGTCAACACTGCTGATAGGTCTCATCCTAGCGCTGCCAGCAGGAGTTATACCTACATATTTAAATAGTGAACATTCACTTTATTATTTATCAGGGTTTACACTACCAGTGAAGTATACCTACATATTTAAATTCCAAGTCCGGTTTCTCAGTCGGTTCTTGTAAAGGTACAATTAAAGATAAGAAGTGACTAAGAAAACGGCCTCATATTTACCAATGATAACGAGTCTTGTCTCTTAGTCGCGCAACTAAAGCTACAGTTAAAGATTAATGTAAGAAAGACTAAAAAACTGCCTTTAATTCACTGAAGAGCAATAGTCGGGTTTCTTAGTCGCGCTTCAATAGCTACAGTCATCGAAAGATGTTAGTGCAACTAAGAAAACTGCCTATAATTTGCCATTGAGAACGAGTCGGGTTTCTTAGTAGGATTACCATAGCTACAGTTATAAATAGATGTTAGTATGACTAAGAAAACGGCCTCTAATTTACCAATGAGAACGAGACCGGTCTCTAGGCCAGGTAGAGGAATATCAGTTTGGTAGCAGACAAAGATACAGGGAGCTAGCTGGGTAACTCGTAGACTGTAGACCTTAACAAGAAAATTATCTTATTGTACTTAGGGTATATATTTTGCAGCTAAATAAACCCCTACCCCCGTTCAAAAATAAATTTTTCAACTGTAAGTTTTTTCCTTTTTTTACTTAAATATGAATGTTTTTCAGAATTAAGGATAAAAATTCATTTGTAGATAAAAGTTTTGAAAAAAGCATTTTTTCTAATTTTTCTTGTCTCCCACCCAAAACTTGGGGGAAAGGGAAATGGATAATTTTCCCAAATTATATGGTTTAATACAATATGCCCCTGTCTACTTATATATTAAGGGTTGCATTCCTTTTGTAACCCGTTATATATGAATAGTATCAATAAATGCCTTTATCTTTCTATCTAAATTCTCTTCCATTGCTTAAACCCTCAGGACACTTGAAGAGATAAATCTTAATGAATTAGCAATAGAAAGTACGTTAATATTCCCTTTAAAGAGAGTGACCGGCTGAACATGGTAGTTGTGCTGAGAGTGCACTATAGAGAAATCTAAAAAATTATGAACAAGAATATCTATAAAATTATATATAAATTTCAGGATTCATACAAGACCTATGAAACGTTTTATATTTGTATGATTGTACGACAAGAGCCCAAGTTCAATCTTTATATCCTTTTGATTAAGTTCCGTCCTGGAGGGATAATTTTCAACCACCATGTCTAGCCGGTCACTCCCTTTAAGATCTTGTTGTTTNAACAGTTTATTAGGAGGGTTTCTGAGCTGGATTTCTAAAAAAAAAATTACAATTTTTTACTGTCAGGGCTTTAAATCGTCCTTGCAGAGAAGACCTGAGCTTGCAAAATATACATTACGGCTTTTTGCAGGGATGTCACAAAAAATTCTTTTTCAAAATTAGCCGTAAAAACAAGAACAAGAGAATTGAGAATTTGGAAATACAGAGATTGCAATCAACCAGCAGCTGTTATCATCTGATGAATTATAGAATTTTGAAAAATTTTAAAAAAGTGTAAAAATATTTTTTCTGTTTTTACACTTTTTTATTTAATCCTGGAAAACATGTAAGAAAATTTCGTTTTTCTTGTTATATTTGACACTTGTGACGTCATGTATAATTGGTCCATTTCTCTGTTGCCACCTATTTTAATTGTTAATCTATTTGGCTGCAGAGTATTCTGAAACTAAAGTATTTGATAGATTCCCATGTCATTACAGTGAGAACCAGAAAACTGTGGAATAGGAAGACGACATTAGAGCAATACTTTTGATGATGTTACAAAGCAATTAGTTTTACAGAGTCCGAATTTCATGAATTTAAGTCGCTTCTCAAATCGGCCAAAAACCGGTTTCAATTGAACGCCGGCTAAAATCTTTAAACATTGAATACAATTTTAAGTGGAACCAACCATATTTAATCCGTGTCTCAAATTTAAGCCGCGGCTCAAATTCTTTAAATTCTGTCTCAGGTAACTTATAAAATCACTGTTTACACTGCATCATTGCTAATCTTCGAACTATATTTGATATCATTACTTGAGCCTATAGTTAATTCTCTAGTTCTCTTTATATGAAATATATTTATTTCGCATACACCTTCAGTATGGAAAAGATCGTCGAAATAAAGACAGAGATGTATATTATTTGAAATACTTTCTTACTAGACAAATGGTATTTGTGTATTTCAAAGAAATCATTTTAAAGATTGTACTTCTTACTACTTCTTTACTTTATATTGTTGCATCTAAATTTATAAAGTAGTGATATCTGTTTGTTTGTTTGTTTGTTTGTATGTCTGATCATAACTCATGAACCCCTTGACTGATTTGTCTCAAATTTTGATTTAGGAACTTGGTAAAACTTGGTCGATTTTAAACTAGTCTAACATAAAATAATTTATATAACAAAGTGACAATGAAAGTTTTCCTACTTGCACCACATGTTGACATTTTGTCCTGGCTTCAGAAAATTTCTATCCTCACGTTCCGGTGTTGTGGCATTGAACATCATAACCTGGACAAAATGTTTTTATTAAACATCATAACCTGGACAAAATAAAAATCATAACATGGACAAAATAGAAATCATAACCTGGACAAAATAAACATCATAACCTGGACAAAATAAACATCATAACCTGGACAAAATAAAAATCATAACATGGACAAAATAAACATAATAACCTGGACAAAATAAACATCATAACCTGGACAAAATAAAAATCATAACATGGACAAAATAGAAATCATAACCTGGACAAAATAAACATCTAACCTGGACAAATAAACATCAACCTGGACAAAATAAACATCATAACCTGGGCAAAATAAAAATCATAACCTGGACAAAATGTTTTTATTAAACATCATAACCTGGACATAATGTTTTTATTAAGCATCATAACCTGGACATAATGTTTTTATTAAACATCATAACCTGGACAAAATAAAAATCATAACATGGACAAAATAAAAATCATAACATGGACAAAATAAACATCATAGCCTGGACAAAATAAACATCATAACATGGACAAAATTAACATCATAACCTGGACAAAATGTTTTTATTAAACATCATAACCTGGACATAATGTTTTAATTAAACATCATAACCTGGACAAAATGTTTTTATTAACCATCATAACCTGGACAAAATGTTTTTATTAATTCAACAATAAAGATATTACACGTAAGAATATTTTTAAAAAGAATATTTATTATGAAAAGTACAAAAAAAAAAAACAATGATACGTAATTTCCTAAAACCGTAAACTCTTCCAAAACTTTAATTGTGTAATTTGCATTCTTTTAGGTCAATATTCGTGAAAGCGTCAGACAAGCAAATGTTTTTTTAATTTCTATTCTAAAGATTTGCTTGTCTTACACTAAAATGCCCAATTTTGAAGAAAATACAGCTAAGAACAAACCGGAAACAGAACAGAACTATCGTTTTTTTTGTTTTTTTTTTATGGATTAATAAAAGCAAACTTTACAAGAATACGTACAATAAGATTAAAAAGACTAAATAGAGCTTCCAGACCTTACCTGAGGGCTCCCATTTGCATCCAAAATTTCAGTATCGTTAGGGAATCTCTTGGTTTTGTTGACAAGTATAATTTGTTTATCATGAGTCATGCTCGGCATCGTGGACGGTAACAACTCTGCAGTACAATATTGTTTTCAAAACAAACTTTAATATAAATTAATTCGGTTCATACAGAGGTTAAGGCTTCAAGGTTTATAGATTATAGAACCAAAGGAAGCAACTTTGGTATAATGGATGAATGATATTTTGAAGATGTTCTTCACTTTGTCTGCATTAATGTTGACGCTTAAACATTTTAAGAGCAATTCGTTTTATTTTTCACATCAAAGCTTTACCCTGTTGGAAATATCTTTCACATTTTGTTTATCATGTCAAACTATAGCAAACATATTGTTCGAAATTGTGAAAAGAATGTTAAAGATATCTCACAATTTTTTCCATAAAAATTGTTTTATTTTCCGAGAAAAAATTGTTTATCAATATTCAGTTTGTTTTTAAATTCTATCAACAGTCTATTAGATTCTATCAACAGTTTATAAGATTCTATCAACAGTTTATTAGATTCTATCAACAGTTTATAAGATTCTATCAACAGTTTATTAGATTCTATCAACAGTTTATTAGATTCCATCAACAGTTTATTAGATTCTTTCAACAGTTTATTAGATTCTATCAACAGTTTCTTAGATTCTATACAAATTTTATGAGATTATGCCAAAGTTTTATTAAACTCGAAAAAAGCTTGTAAACAATAAAAAATAAAAAAGTCGTCTTCTTTGTATTGATAAAACCGCTTACCACTGTATGCAATCAAAGTTTGATGAGATTATATAAAACTTTTATGCTCTTATTGAAACAATAAGTGTCCTGTGAGGTTTATATTTTTACAGACTCCTGGAGCTGGAAAAGTAACATTAGCAGGAACAGCACTTGTACCGAACTCTTCTACAGTAGGCAGCACAGTGGTGAACATGCTCTAAATAGTAGCAAAATTAATACAGTAGGCAGCACAGTGGTGAACATGCTCTAAATAGTAATAAAATTAATTTTGAAAAAAATAATTTTAACCGAACATTTACCTGAAAATCTGCCACTGGTTTCATAAACTGAACTTCCATAAAGACTGAATAAAATTAAATTATTTTTGTGTTTATAATTTAAAACAAATGGTTCAAATATAATCCCAAATGATCACGCGATAACGTGCCTCAAACTCTAATTTTCTTATTATTTATATGTACAGAGCTGGGAACTTTTGAATGGTGGATATCGGGATTGATCCACTCTTTTTCTTAATCTTGAGTTTAAATAATGCTTGTTCTCTCTTGTTATTAATCTCCAGATTAATTATCCGATCGGGATCAAGGATTTCCTATTCTAAAGTATTCAGTTCTGTTTATACAACGCGATGTTATAATAGACCTTTGATATAAAAATCTATAAATTCTGTCAAATAGTCATAGTTAAGAATATTAAAGGTACTATCAGGTTACAAAAGTAAAGGTCCGGAAAGTTATAGATTGTGGCGAATGATAAATTGCTTTCTTAATTTGTTAAAATCAAATGAAGCAAATATTGAAAATAAAAACCGATGCAAAAATACAATATGGACGACATCACAGAGATCCAGGCTTGGTAATGAATTTTTCCGTTGTAGTTTGACTTTTTAACTTTTGGAAAATATATAGAAATTTATTTTAACACTTTTCAACCTAGAACAAGATTATTGATAAGTTAATGGTTTCAAGAGGTATCTTTGTAAAGCTGGCATTGCCATCTTTGCATGGATTGCTATTTAAAATTACGCTTTTAAATTCTTATGCATGCAGCATGATACCTGTTATATAATAAGAATCATAATTGATTGGAATAGTTGTAGCGGGAGGAGCAGTAGCAGCTCTCTTCTTTCTAGCAGCAGGGGCAGCTTCAAACATAAATAAATAAATATAGATAAATATAAATAAATATATAATAGAGAAATAAATAGCTGCAGGCTCAGTAGCAGATCTCTTTTTCCTAGCAGCAGGAGCAGCTTAGAACATTAACAGTTTCACGCAAATAAATTGTGCAAAAAATTTTAAATTCTTATAATGCAAATCTCTGAAAAAAGCAATTGATTGGTTATTTATTAGAATTTGACATTTGATAAGAACATGCATGATTCTGCTGTGTCATTCATACATATCTCACCTGTTTCTGCAGGAGCAGCTGCAGTAACAGCTGCAGGTGCTCCTGCAGAAGTAGAAGCTGCTGTAGTTGTAGTTGTAGTTGTTGTAGTTGTAGCAGGACATCCCATACATCCAATTTTCTAAAAGTTATATCATGCAAAACTTTTAAAGTTTACTCAGGTCCTCAAGCAAAGAAAAGCTATATTTGTATGTGTTAATAAGCTTGTTCTATTCTGTGAATTTGAATTATGAATCCATATAAACAATAATGATTTGAGAACCAATTTATTGAAAATTAATAAATGATTTGCAAATTGGCCGCCAGATACTATGTTGAAGTGGCCCCTGCAGAAAGTTACCAACCTGGCGCGGCGTTCTGACATTCCCATTTGTACCAATTTAAATAAAAATGAAAAATTACATTTGATGCTCTTGACTTGTAAAACAATAGGCAGGCATCAGTGTTTAACAGACTTATTGTCTGGTTGGTTAATTGGCTAATTGGTTTGTTGGTTGAAGTTTGTTTGTCGATAGTTTCTTTGATCAATAGGTTTGTTGGTCAGGGTCCTCAACTTGGACACAGTAGTCTCCAAAAATCAGTAAAAATATTTATTTCAAACCTGCAATAGAATGCAGGTATAATAAAATTAAATGACAATGTTAATAAAATTAAATAACAATGTATTAATGTTGTAGAATTTTAATAGTATAACTTGCTAGTTTTCCGTGTCGGGGTAAAAAGAAGTGATTAAGGATTTGAGGGTTTGATGGAATAGTTTAAAACATTTGTAAACACTTCTTAAATATAAACCCGGATTTTTAGAGTGGAATTTACTAAGGATTGCAAAGTTATTTATGAATTTGATCTTAGTAAAACGTTTCACTATTTTGATTTTCCTTTGTTATGGTAAAGGGTAAGAGTCAGAGAATAAGGATAAAAATATAATTTATTGATTTAAAATAAAGGACAGTTTAGTTGATAAAAATTGCGATAAGTTTAAGAATTAAGACTCTTGAAATTGTATTAAATTGGAAATTAGATTAAAAATCTTGGGAATAAACTTGGTTTTGATAAATTATAAGGAATTAGAAAGAATTTTATTTCCCTTGGGAAATTCAAAATTGAAAAATTATTCATGATTGACAACCCTGAAACCAGAATTCAATGAGCTCTATTGCTCATTGTTGTAGGATTCCTGCTTGAGCTGCTCCGAGTTGAGTTTCTGCTTCTAGTACTAAGGTTTCCACTGCTCTATCATCAGTGAGGCCATGAATCTGCTCCTGAAGCTGTGGTTTCTCTATACCAATGAAAGAGTACAGATGGTAGTTGAATATAGCCCCAAATATGTCTTTGTTCTTTCTACGGAGAAGGTCTGGAACCCTGGCAGCTGAGATTTCATGTCGATATTTGGGTTAATTTTTTAAGAAGATCATTTTCCCCTCAAGGTTTGAGGTTGAACTGGTAGGGTAGGAGGGTCTGGGTCAGTTGGAGACTCAGGCTTGGTTGAAGGGTCTGGTTTGGTTGGAGGATTTGGATTGGTAGGAGGATCTGGTTTGATTGGATAATCAGGTGCGGTTGGAGGATCTGGTTCAACTGGAGGACCTGGTTTGGTTAAAGGATCTGGAATGGTTGGGGGATCTGGGTTAATAGCAGAATCTGGTTCTGTTGAATGATCAGGCTTGGTTGAAGGGTCTGCTTTGGTTGGAGGATCTTGCTCAGTTGAAGGATTTGGTTTGGTTGGAGGATCTGGATTGGTTGGAGGATCTTGCTCAGTTGAAGGATCTGGTTTTATTGGAGGATCTTGCTCAGCTGAAAGATCTGGATTGGTCTCCGACATACACTCAACCACGCAGACAAAATAATAGGTCTTGAGCCGGGTTTTGGGACAGTTTGGGAAGGATTGGGTTCAGGCGGGAGGAGGAGGATTGGGGTCCAGGCGGGAGGAGGAGGATTGGGGTCCAGGCGGGAGGAAGAGGATTGGGGTTCAGGCGGGAGGAGGAGGATTGGGGTCCAGGTGGGAGGATTGGGGTCCAGGCGGGAGGCTCAAATTCAAAAATTAGTCCCTGAAAAATTTACCTTCTGGAATCTCATGACAGCCGCTCTCACAAACTGTNCAGGAGGAGGAGGATTGGGGTCCAGGCGGGAGGAGGAGGATTGGGGTTCAGGCGGGAGGAGGAGGATTGGGGTTCAGGCGGGAGGAGGAGGGTCCAGGTGGGAGGAGGAGGATTGGGGTCCAGGCGGGAGGCTCAAATTCAAAAATTAGTCCCTGAAATATTTACCTTCTGGAATCTCATGACAGCCGCTCTCACAAACTGTTGTTCAACTGCTGATGCTTGAGTCACAAATGCATTGTTAAACTAAACAAAATTTTAAAAATTTAGATTTACAGAAACAATTAAATAAAATATGAATCAAAGTCACACAGAGAAGTTAATCAGAAAATCCCTTTTTTAACAGTGAATACAGTACAGTGGGAAGTTAATCAGAAAATCCCTTTTTTAACAGTGAATACAGTACAGAGGGAGGGTCAGGCCAGTACAAATTTTTAACAGTGAATACAGTACAGAGGGAGGGTCAGCCCAGTACAGTAGTACAGAGGGAGGGTCAGGCCAGTACAGTACAGAGGGAGGGTCAGGCCAGTACAAATTTAGTGTCGCGGTCGCCATCACTGACTTTTCTTAATTGGAGTGTATTGGATTGAAAGAAATAAGAATTCTGTAATAGATTTTCAAGCTTTGTGATCGTAATGGCACTCAATAATTAGAAATGTTAAAATACAGGTTAAACTCAAAGGATGAGACTTTAATTAGACAACAATACAGAATTCATACTGGCTGTTCACGTGGATTTAACGGTTCTGTCAATACTCCAGCAGTAAGATATAAAGTTCATACTAGCTGTTCACGTGGATTTAACGGTTCTGTCAATACTCCGGCAGTAAGCTATGACTTTTGATCACATTTGGACCCATTTGATATAATTTGTTTGTCTTTTTCCTAAGATTTTTCGTCGGCATGTGCATTTTGAATGAATAAGTATAGAATAAACACATCAGTAAGTTAAAAGATTGTTGAATTAGAGACCAAAGCACGTTTGATTTCAAATATAAAAGAAACCGAATGCTGCTCTGGTTAGTTCTGAGTGTGTTATATTCATGATTCCTAACAACCATGTACACTGATTTCTTTCTTTATCAATTCATGAGATAAGCTACATTCAAGACAGAAGACTTAATTTAAACTTGGGATCGTCATATTTGACGAGTTTAAAGTCGTCTTTACAGTCTCATCTGAGAGGGTAACCCTGTAGAGAATGACGCAAATTTGTCTAAGTTTACCATCTCTTCCACTCTTTGTTTCAGGTTGATGAATTGCGGGGACTCAGGCTCATCCATTCTATTCAGCTCGAGGCGTTTCGTCTAAACAATTTTCTAAAGTCTTTAAAGTCTTATGCGTAATTTCAAGTGACCCTCTCCTTGCAAAGATGTCGACAATGCCCGATTTACAGAGGTATCCTTAAACATTTTGTCTGATCAAGTATTAATTGAACGGGTTCTCTCTAAAACTCTAGAATGTTTTCCCTCTGCTTTATTTTCAAAAATATGGAATTCGATTGAATTAGAGCTGAAAGAAACTAAATCTGCAAAATCGTTTGAAAGAAAAGTCGCCAAGATCTACTTAGATAGGTATGCAAATTATGTTACCCTAGCTCTGTTCCAACCCTTACGCTGAGTATCCTCCCTTTCCTTTATACTCCCTCACCTCCTCCTTACATTTTTCCTGATTTATCATCATTCTTATGTTTAAAATTTACATTGTACATTCTTTTTATCTGCAATTCTCATTCGTTTATAGTGGGCCAACCAATTAAAACAACCTACTTTGGTTAGGCGGGTCCAAACTACATAGTAAATTGTGATTTTTTATTTGAATTATCTCGTGCTTTGTAGTTGAATAAAAATTTGAAATATGAAAATTAAATATCAATGTTTTTTCAAACTGATTATTTACATTCGCAGTTTTCTGCAAAAATGACTTGCGCATTTCTTGCTAATATAGGAAGCAATAGAGAAATTCACAGAAATAAAGTTTTTTCGAGTCAGAAAAATAAATGTACCTTTGTCATTTTTGATCTGATTTAAAGGTTTCAATTGCATCGGTGCAAATCGGGCACTGCCATTTTTAGCATAGAAGGTCACTTGAAATTACATTTACAGCCCTGACCTTTAAAGGGACTGATTACAAAAAATGCAATGACAAAACAAATGTCGCATGGATTTTGCATTTGAATTATTAAATTATTTTCTTTCTTATGGGGCCAAAATTTGGCATGGTGTATGAAAATGATTTACTTGCATTTTTTTACACCATGCAAAATTTTGACTTTGACAGAAAATGTATACAAAAGGCGAACACTGAAGACGACCTTAATAAAACGTAAGTTTTTAAAGAAAAAAACGAGAAACAAGACTATTTATACTATATATTTTATATTTTGCTTACCGCCTGATATTTGTAGAACTCCCATCTATGCGCAGCATTTTCATTAATCAAGGTATATTCTACCAAATACGCATTCTCTGCAAAAAATATACATCTATAAAATAAAAAATAGTGAGAACCAAAAATCTCTAATTAAAATGGGAAGACGACTTTCAGACTCGGGTTACGACTTAAGTGTTATTTATTTTAATGTCGTCTTCCTATTTAATATTTTTCTGGTTCTATTCAGGTTTATGCTTAATTAACATCATACAGCCAGCCCACATTTTGTGTATAAACCCTAATTTTGCGTATTTTAGTCCAAGTCATTTCATTTAAGTTTACTCCCCCTTCTCCCCGAATAGTGTATACCACTAAGCTTACTAAAACCCATATTTACTCAAATACTAAAGTGTCAATCTGATATTTTTGCGAATAGCTGGGACAGCTGGTGAATACCTTTAAATGTCTTCTTCCATTTACTCTATTGGAAATCAATATACTTAACAAATTATGGAATAAGACATTTTAAACTATTCACCATGTTCTCAATGCTTACCTATTGGAACCTGCTCAGTTTGATTTTTACAATAACAAACTGAATCCGGATCCATTGTTGGTAGACTGGGGGTCCTTGATCCACATCTAGAATAGGATAAGAATAGGATTAGAATAGGATTAGAGTAGGATTAGAATAGGATTAGAATAGGATTAGAATAGGATTAGAATAGGATTAGAATAGGATTATAATAGGATTATGATAGGATTAGAATACGATTAGAATAGTATTAGAATAGGATTAGAATAGGATTATAATATAGGATTAAAATATGTAGGATTAAAATAGAATTATAATAGGAATAGAATAGGATTATAATAGGATTAGAATAGAATTATAATAGGATTAGAAAATAGGATTATATTAGGATTATAAAAGGATTAGAATAGTATTAGAATAAAGGATTAAAATGTAATTAGAATAGGGCTTAAATAAGATTAGAAAAGGATTAGAATAGGATTAGAATATGATTATAATAGGATAAGAATTGGGTTAGAAAAGGATTAGAATAGGATTAGAATAGGATTAGAATAGGATAAGAATAGGGTTAGAAGAGGATTATTATTGGATCAAAATAAGATTTGTGTGATGTAAAAAAATGCTAATTCATTTATCTTTGCAACCTGATGGTGTAAACTTTTAATGTTTCACACTTAGATTATTGATCTATATTATATATTATTGATTATAGAGATTTTGCAGAGTTTGTGACAAAGAATAAATTCCTTTAGGATACAGGGTGTCCCACAAACATGACACTAGCATAGACAAATTGAAAGTCGTCTTTCTACTTTGAATTTATTTGTGACATTCAGTCGGCAACCTACTTTCAGATATATGATTCCTGAAACAATAGCCACAAAATTCCCCTAGTCCTGCTTTCAATATTACCGGAGATATTAAGATTTCGTTCAGAATTAACTTTTATTACAGTGAAACCCTTAATAAAGAATACCTCGAAAGAATTCATCAAATGTCGTATTCTTCACTGTCTGATAATGGAATGTTGCGAATATTTAGTATTTTAATTAAATGATTATATGGAACTCTTAAAACTTTTACCGCATATTCACGGCTATTTATTTAATTTCGCAAATACTGAAATTTACGTAATATAGTATAAAACTCATTGAAAAATTGTCAAGACGACATTTGATAAATTCTTCCGATGTATTCGTTATTAAGGGTTTCACTGTAAGTAAAACCAAAATTGTCGAAATCTGAAGGAAATTTATCTTATCTCCGGAGATATTTTAAGATCTAGATATCTATTTATGTATCAAGGTTATTATAGTTTACAAGATTGTTAATATGGATTCAACACAAAACTTTTCTGCGATATTATCATGTACATACAATTATGAATTAATAAGGTCGAAATCTAGAATTTTACAGATACATTTTTTTTCGTTTTTTGATGTCTGGATTGCTGGTAAAATTCTCCGGAGATATTGAAAGCACTAAAAAGGCAGACCGCAATTTGGAAATACCCCGATTGTGATTATAAATTCTAGAACTTTACTCATAAAAAAGTTAACGAAAAAATGCCGGAAATTATTTTAAAGGTCTAAGACGACCTTTAAATCGTCTTGCTATTGTCATGTTTCGTACCTAAGGTGGAATTTAAAGAATTTGAGCGGCGGCTTTTATTTGAGACGCGGCTCAAATATTGTTGGTTCTACTTAAAATTGTATTCAATATTTAAAGATTTAAGCCGTATACTCTAATTTATAAAATTAAGAAGCTGTTACCTGTATTTTTCTGCAATATACCCTAAAGCATCAGCAGTTAGCCTAGATTTAGCCTGAAGGCATGTTTTCAGAACCTAGATATTTATATTCTAGAACATCAGCAGTTAGCCTAGATTTAGTCTCAAGACAGGTTTTCAGAACCTAGATATTTATAACCTAGACCATCAGCAGTTAGCCTAGATTTAGTCTCAAGACAGGTTTTCAGAACTTAGATATTTATAACCTAGAACATTAGCAGTTAGCCTAGATTTAGTCTCAATGCAGGTTTTCAGAACCTAGATATTTATAACCTAGAACATCAGCAGTTAGCCTAGATTTAGTCTCAAGGCAGGTTTTCAGAACTTAGATATTCATAACCAAGACCATCATCCGTTAGCCTAGATTTAGTCTCAAGACAGGTTTTTAGAACCTAGATATTCATAACCTAGAACATCAGCAGTTAGCCTAGATTAAGCCTGAAGGCAGGTTTTCAGGACCTAGATATTTATAACCTAGAACATCAGCAGTTAGCCTAGATTTAGTCTAAAGGTAGGTTTTCAGAACTTAGATATTTATAACCTAGACCATCAGCAGCTAACCCAGATTTAGTCTCAAGGTAGGTTTTCAGAACTTAGATAATTATAACCTAGACCATCAGCATTTACCCTAGATTAAGTCTCAAGGCAGGTTTTCATAACTTAGGTATTTATAACCTAGAACATCAGCAGTTAGCTTAGATTTAGTCTCAAAGTAGGTTTTGAAAATCTAGATATTTATAACCTAGAACATCAGCAGTTAGCCTAGATTTAGTCTCAAGGTAGGTTTTGAAAATCTAGATATTTATAACCTAGAACATCAGCAGTTAGCCTAGATTAAGTTATCAAGTTTCAGATTTTTTGGCAATATTTATAAAAATTCCCCTTTTACTTTTTAATAGACCCCAAGATCAAAATAATCAATAATCAGAAAAACCAGAAGCGCTTATTAATTTTCTCATTTAAATTATTCAGACAAAGGCGCACAGGTCACCACTGTGAGCAACGAATGTTACTTTACAATAAGAGACAATCTTGTTGAATTCAAAAATTAGAGAAGAGTTTAAACCTTCTTTGCATTTTCGGGGACTGCCAGTAGATCAGCATCCCCTAGACACTTGCAGGGTGCGAGAGCAGGTAGGGTTGTGGTTTCTATTAATACTCCTTCTATACCTGCAATTCGGGATGGAATGTTATAACTTTTTAACCCTATTCCTGCTAGGGGGGGGGGTCAAATTGACCCCCCCCCATATTTGAAATGGCATGGTCAAGGTAACTACAATTAAGGAAGAATGTAGAGCGAGAACTTTACTACTTCTGTAGAGAAAAAGGCCGCCAAGCGCCCTGGAAATCTGACATTTACATATTTATCTTGTCTACTTGTTTGTTTGTTTCCAATAAAGTTGAAAAGACTAAACCAATTGGACCAAAGTCTTTTGTAGAACCTCATATAAGTCTATTCCCAGAACTGGAAAGCTTGTTTTGAAATAAGATCTTCGATTTTAAAATTTTTGCAAATTAACAAATTTTAGGAGGAAAATAAGGCAGAGAAAGTTGGTGCCATTGTTGGAAGCATCCCAATTTAAAGAATTTGAGCGGCGGCTTGAATTTGAGACCCGGCTTAAATATGGTTGGTTCCACTTCTAAATGTAACCAATGTTTCAAGATTTAAGCCGGCGCTCAATGGAAACTGGTTTTGTTTTGTTTTGTTCTTGTCTTAGGACTTAAAACCGACTTATTTAGGCGCACTAAATTATTTGTCAGTAGAGAGCATAGAGTTCGAGAGAGTTGTATCTGGATTGATACATACTTAAGAATACAGAGAGAGTTGTATCTGGATTGATACA